TTTTTATTTACATAACTTTTATTATTAAAAATGCCTTCCACGTAAGGAATTGCAAAAATTGTGTCGCTTTAATAACACAAAATCACGACAAATCACGACGGACGAGCACTATTTATTCATCGTTTGAATTAACAACTTTTAATAGAAAATTGTTTCTCGTACATTCTACTATTCGTACGTTTTTCTTCTCATCTTCCACTGTCGTAGTTGACACGTTAATGCACAATCCTATCCACTTTGTTTTTGTGAATTTAAATCAATTCAACTGTTTTGGAACAGAACAATTGCGAAGGAAAAATTAAAGACGATAAACGAAGTTAGAAAAGAAACACGCACGTGAGCCTCGAATACAAGCCGTCCGAAGACTGACCGGACTTGAGAGGCATCCCTTGACCTCGATACTAAATACACATAACTGATGTTATCTTGCAAACGTCTGGATTAGCCATGATCAATCAAAGGCTGATCGATGAAACTGTATTATCCGTAATCTGATATAGTGTTACATACTGTTTGATACGATATATACGTTTAAATAGTTTCACCGAAAAGAAACAAATAAATGACTTTCGATTTTGTCATTTTATACGTAAAATTTGAAACGAGCCAATGAGATCTACTATTATAACAAGGTTCTATGTATCCAAGATTATATGTATCCGAAACCTCACCTATGACAGAATTCTGAATATTAATGGAGCTCAGTAACGCGGTCATCGGTATATATTATTGCCGATGACGTCAAAATTAAGACGAAAGAAAATTTTGACGTACTGCATAGGTACATTGATTGACATTGCAAACGTTTATAATAAAAGATGGATATTTGAAGAAAATTTTACGTGCGTGTCATTGAATCCGTGGGAGAGATAATTCAGGCGAGAAATCTATTTCTGTCCAAAACTAAGAGAGAAACATTCGAGTGAAAATAATTAATGGATCTACGAGATACGATTTGTTTCTTATAATCCTTTTATTTTTCCTCGTCCAGGTTACATGACACGACGATTATATTATCGCTAGTGAGATTTAATTCCTGTAAGCTCAATCGTTCTAATTGTATCGCGTATACGGGAAGTATTGTACAAGGTAGTTCGACGATCTCCATCATTGAGAACATGCTTAATCGACCGTGTTACGAGTGCGGCGCGCACATATTCCGGGCAACGAAATTAAGCGCACCATTACCACGCGTAAAGGAACATTCCGACGGACCAAAATGAACACTTATGAGGCTGTATTTATCGTCACCTCCTTACCTCCCTCCTCGACTGGAGGAAAATAGGAGGCGATAAAAAGACGATGAAGTCAAGATAAGATAACCGTGCTCTGATTAAGATGCCGGGATTAATCTGTCGATGGGGCTCTGTCGTTAAACCACCCTTTTCATCGGCTCTTTCAGCCACTAGATTTCAAATAATCTTTAAAGCAGTCATTAACGATTATCCAACCGGGGAAAAGAGAACGTTAATTCTTCTAGTATTTCCAATAAGAAAAATATATTCATTCCTTTGTGTAATTTATCTCTGATATTTTTAATATTTTTTTTTTAATATAATTTTTTTTTTATATTAATTTAAAAGAATCTTCTTTAATGAATAAAGATCGAATTAATCTCGAAATGTTGAAGTAACATGATTTACACATTTACGTGATTAAATTACAAAAAGGGCGAAGAAAATACGCGAACAGGAGGGAAAGAAATTCATTGTTCAACAAACGACGAAATTAGCCCGACGATAATTATAGAAATGCTTGAGGAGATTCATATATCAGCGAAAGGGAATAGATCAGTGAAAAAAAGCGGCGACTACTCGCTGTAAACTGTATAGTTTGCTTTGAAACGCCGGGCGAAAAAACACGGCGAAGGGAGACGAGGAAATAGAAAGAGAACTTTCGTAGAGGGATAGGCTGTCGTCGACTGAGTTTATTTTGAGACATCAATGCGAGTAGCATGAAAGAAACGCGCGAGAACACAAGGAAAATACTACGGATCGCTATTTCAGGTGTTCGCGCCACGCCATTAACCCGTATCATCTAAACTTTCTATTACGATCTTCCTATTTCTTTCAAGCTAACTGAAATAATCAGCCGCGATAAACAACAGCAAGTGTTTGACACTCAAATTCGCATTAAAAATGCTTTTTTTCTTTTTTAACTGTGCGACGGTATTATTATCATGTTATGGTGATAATCGGTTCTTTTAAATAATTTAACTGCCCCGTCAGATCTATTTATATTCTTAAGTTATATAAGTCGCATAATTTGTGCACAACGTTGTATAATATATGACGTCGATCATTTGTTAATGCATTGTATTGTCGTGATACGTGGCGATAATTGTATTTTCTCCAAATAATTTACGTATTTGATATCAAAGCTCATTTACTTATATCTTTAAGTAACCTTAGTAATCCTATACCTTTTTTTTTTTTACGTACGTTATATAATTTATTATTTATATTATATTGCATGACATTGTAAGGCACACCTACTGAAAAAAACAAATCTAACAATAACCAAGTCTAGATGATCGAATAAAGCTTAGTGAAATAATTTCAATTATATATTAATATTGTTTTCTAAATATTATTTTACTTTTGTAATTATTATATCAACCGATTGGTACTATTATTATGTTTGGTAATATTTATTAAATATTGCACCAATGTGTGCTAAACAAAATATATTTAGTGATTATTACTAGATTCTTCTTTTTTTTTTTAATGATGCGTGACACGGTTTAACTTTCTAGAACTGAAAGGCTGAAACAGCGCGATCGCCCGAGCATTTTTTATCGCGATCATCCTCGTTCGAATAAGATTAATCTATCGATAGAGCGTTTGTTAACCACTGCCAGAAGGAAACCTTAAATATAACAATGCACTAATCTTTGTCATTGTACGACCACGCGAACAATTCTCAATGACGAAGTTTAGTGCATTGTTATACTTAAGGTTTCTTTCTTGGCAATGGATTAGATGATAGGCCTTCGCGAGCAACATGCAGGTCGCTCGAGTCCGGGCAGAAAGATTGATGGATGAGTAACGTTTAGGAGTGCAACGCTAAAAGCACCGGTACGTTTTATGGCTCGTATGCAAACCACACATTCAACGCTAAACATGCTTGATGTTTCACTTGTCTAATCGACGCGACGGTGCGCGTACACGAAAGACGTGAGTTAGGATCGGGCTATTACATTTGGCGTTAAATAATAGACGCATATATAAATTTTGATGGAATCTTTGAATTACATATGTTCCGCGTATCGCGGTTAATTTTGCGTACAGGCAATGTTTCGATAGCCGCACTTGCAAAAACAGTTATAGTATATATATCATATTAGTTACACTTTCGCAATAGGCACCTTTGTTATTATTACTCAACTATCCAACATTTTACTCGTTAATGATGTTATTTAGCTATTTCAAAATTTTACTTGTTAATATTAGATGTTATTCAGCCATATTCGAAATATTTTACTCTTGACCATGTTATTATTCAATCATCTAAAATATCACACTTGCTCATATTATTCAGTAAATATTATTTGTTAATATTACTCACATTTACACACATTTATATACATATATTCAACAACTATCGTTTCTGTGCTTTGCGCTTAAATTTCTACTTCACTCAAATCAAATCAATACATCTGACGTCGTCGTGCATAATTAAATTCGTCGAATGTAAGAGATCGAGACCGAGAACACTCTCTTCGTGCAAAACAAGAATACCATATATGAACGATCAATCGGTTACCTGCAGGAACAGCATGAAGCAGACCCACTGATAGTATTTGTACTCCTTTCGCTCAGATTCGGAATACGATTTGGAATTGTCGACGCCGGGAAAGGGCACTTCCAAACCTTCTCTTTTACGGTACGCCGCGGTTATCGTGTAAGTGCTGTGTATCCAGCAGTAAGTGTTCAGAACATCTTCGGGCAGGTCCTTGCTATGTATACAGTCGATAGGATTGCCGACGTACTGACGGGTTGTGACAATCAGGGAGAACGCTATCAGCAGGATCACAGTCAGGCTGTAATGCAAGCGGAAGACGGCGCTGTCGATATGGATGTGCGAGATTTTTATGAGACTCTTCAGACCGCGAAATATGTCCAGCATCTTGGTACTGGAACGATACTATAATAAGAGATCAGAGGCTACGCCGGGCCACGGCGATTCCCCAGAATAACGTCCGCAGGACTCCACGTCCCTCCAAGTCGCCTCTTGTCGTTCTTTACCTACATTTTTCACTGTTCCCGATTCCGAGATCGTTTTTTCGCCCCGTCGAAGTTTCGCTTTCCGTCCACTTTTTCACTCTCGAGCACGACACGTGTTCACAACTTGAAGGAAAAATAGCGAAAGCGCGCGCGTGAATCTTTAAGAATGGATTAAAAAATGTTAACTGTACATTTTTTTTAATTCAGCCTATATATTTCCCAACTTGCGTGAAACTTTTCGAAAAGGGAGCTATTTCATTTTATCACTTACTTCGTTTTCTTCAATTATTGTCCTTGCGGTTCCTTTCTGATTTTCAAGGAAATATCTTTCTTCGATCGTCAAAAATGTATATATATATATAT